AAATTGGTACTAATTTTAATGTTAGTATCAAATAAGTAAATTTAATTAAACACATTATAAATTAAATATTATTTTTTTCAATATAAATTTATAACAAAAATATATATTTAATATATTCATAATTTGTATACCCTAAAAACATAGGTTAAACAACTCTTTCTTTTTAAGTAATTTAAGTATAGGATTTAAGTTTTAAAATTAGTAGTTAATTAAATTAATTTTTTTAATACATTAAGTTAATATATGGGTATATGCACCTTTAAAACTATTTGAAAAGTGATTAATCTTAATTATAACTTATTTAGTTTGAGAAGAGAGAAACGGAGGGGGAGAAATTTTTCTAATTTGTTAACAAAAAAAAAATTAGAGGAAAGAAGAGGGGAAGGAAAGGGTTTTTTCTTATTTTACTTTAATTTTTTTATATTTTAATCTAATCAAGGAGAGAGCATGTATAGAAAATGACATTCTTCCATATTTCCCAGCCCACCGGTTTTCTCAAATGAAAAAAGAAATTAATGTATACAAAAATTAATTAAAAAATACCTTAATAAGAAAACAAAAAACCTGAGAAGAAGAAAGTTAATAGCATCCGAGGAGTCATAGTAACTGTATTTCACGTGCCGTAATTCAGTGATCACTTATTATTTTAAAAGATAATTCGTGATTTGCACTTTTAAGTTTCAGATTCAATATTTTTCACTAACATTTTTAACATATTAATCTTTAACCATTATCTTTATTAATCAAATAATAAAAAAAAAAAGTCATGATACCCATGGCATTAAAACCAAAATATAGAAATCAAAGCGCCCAATTCATTGAACCAACGGTACTCAGTCAATCAATAAAACAAATTAATTAATTATGATGGGACAATGCCAATTGCCAACTTCAGCCGTTGGCTTTGGTAAACAGAGATTAGTCGATATCCCAGTCGCGCCTTCCTTTTTCTCGCCCTCATTTTCTTCTCTTTCTTTTCTTCTTTTTTGTGTTTTTCTTAGCCATCGTTGCCTCTTTCACACACGACAACTAAGGAAGATGCTAAATGTGGAAATTTTATTTTCTTCTGTTTTTTTTTTTGTTTTTTCTATGGAGGTTTTTTTCTCTTTTAAAAAAAATTTTTGTATTGGCTTTCGTGATATTTTATATTGGTATTCATTTTTGTCAAAAAGATAATGATAACTATTAGTTAAATTTTCATAATTTTCGTACTTACTCTAATTACTAAAAAATATGATTAGAAACAAGGTACCTAACTAAATTTTTTTACTCGTAATTAATTTATTTTTTATTTACATAAATTATATTAATATGTGATTAAATTATTAAATTTCAAATTTAAATATAACTATGATATTTATGTA